CCCCCCCCCCCCCGGCTTTTATTTTTTGTTCTCCTTTCCTCTACGTTCGCACACAGCTGCCCCTGCGGCTTACATCGAACTTGCACCGTATCTGGGACTCTTATCCATTTGTCTCGCCTCCTTCTTGAAATCCGGCGACTCGGCGATCCTGCGGAAGGACGAGCCCCGTCCTTGACGTGGATTCTCGGCGATCGTACGCGAAGGACGCGCGAGAGGCCGACGTTGAGACCGAGAGATGCACAAACGATCTTTCCCTTGACTCTCGCGGGCGAACGTTCGAATTATCGCGTGAGACACGTGAGAGAGAGAGAGAGAGAGAGAGAGAGAGAAAGAGCGTCGCGGCCGATTTTCTCGCGAATCGCTTCGTCGTGGGCGGAAAGCAAATTCCGGAGGTTTCGTCGGTCCTCAACGCGAGTTTCGTCCTTTGTTTAATTAATTGCAATTTTCGCTCTGTCGTTGCGCAACGTCCAAGCGACTCGGCTATTTTCATCGGCTGTTTCGGGACTCGCAAATAGCGGGGAATTGCAAATGGATGGATATCAAGGGCGCGACGGGGAAGGACGTTTCATTCTCGGATCCTTGAAGACGTATGCGTGGGTCCTCCGCGAGCAGAAAGACTGAAGGTGACGAGGCGATGATTGCGCGCGACGAGGAGTTGAATGTACAATTTTTCACGCGAATCTCGAAGAAGGGGGGAAAGCGAGAGAGAGAGAGAGAGACGTTGGAAAGAGGAGGAATCGAATATGCTTTCCGCGATCGACGATCGGTTCGCTCATCCGAGCATTCCGAGCGTTCCGAGAGAACGAGAAGTCGAAAGGTGGAAAAATGCGCAGTCTTCCTTCCCGCGAACGTGATGAGAGTTTGATTAGCGACGTGCCGTTGTCATTCGCGGCGCGCCGCCGTGTCGCATCCTTCTTAACTTGCCGCTCTACTTTGTATATACTGCAGACCTGTGTATATTTATTTAGCTAGCCCCGCGTTATTTATGCAATTCCTTTCGTTGCGTAAGTATCGAGCCTCCCGGACCTTTTAAACGACTACGTACTCACGAGCGACTTGAAAAATGCCCGATGCTTTTTCTGCCGACTGCATCATTGAATTACGCTTTTTATCAACTTTTTCCGTAATGGGCTTCATGCGGTATGTAAATGAAAAGTATGATGAATCATCCTTCAAAAGGACACACATCTTCATCAAGTCAATAAAGTAATCAGCAAGAAAAATTCAAACATTTTTCCGAGCGGCTCGAATGTATGCAGCTTTTAATCGGCGGGGGAGGCAATCGTTTCTCGGTTTTGCGGCTCGAGGGCGTCGCTGGAAACTGGAGAAACTTTTTGTTTTCTTTCCTCTTTATTTGATTATTTTCTTCTTAAGCGTCGGGAGGACACATGTATTTATATTCTGTATTTATGTAGACACGCGCGCGAATATTTCGAGGGGCCGAAGATTCAGCGCGCGCGATCCTTTCGAACGTACGGAGCGCGAAGAGAGAAAGAGACAGAGAGCGAGCGAGCGAGCGTGCAAGAGAGAGAGATAGAGATAGAGATAGGAAGTCGCTGCACCGTCGCGTTTTATTTAACGGATCACGTGAACGCTGGTTAAAGGGTTATCCGATTGCACATACACACAGCGCGCGCGAGACTCGCAACCACCGTGAGATTGCGTTCCGCGGAGCGTCATCGCGTTTCGTTGCGCACGCGCGTGACGGGAAGTCTCTTCTAAAATCCGGTTTATCAGGCCGAGCGGTGCCGGCGGAGCGATCTCGCCGGGTATCGTTCGACGGCCGGACACACACGTCAGCTGCCTCGGTGCGTATAATACATAAGCGTTTTATACTGTTTTTATATACGAACATGTACGTGTAAAATAATGCACGGAGAGCGGCGCGCCGTTCCGGCACGCGCGGCTCCCTCAGTGCGACACGATGCACCCGCACGAGATTGGTGTCTCGGTAGACGTTGCTTGAGTCGTCGTCATCGTTGCAACTCGTTTCCCGGCGGAAGCAACTTCCCGGAGATCGTTGATTTGTTCTCCTCGGTTCTTTTTACGTATGCGGAGAGACAGAGAGAGAGACGGTGCTCATCGAGCTCTCCCGAGAATGTTCGAAGTTTCTAAGTCGCTAATAAGATCCCGCGGATTCCCTCCCGAGTATTCGGGTCGGTCCGTTCTAATTCGTCGATTCGAAACGTCGGTTTCTTGTTTATTTATTTACCGGTCTACTTTTGGATCCGCCTTAGAACGTGACGGAGGAGCCTCGTTTTTTTTTCAAGCTGCACGGAGAAAAATATTTTGCTAAGAAGTTTGGCGCTGCAGGGACAGCGGACAAATTTGTTTGTACGGTAAAAAGATTTGTTCCGACAGCGAGAGGATTTGTTAAGAATATTAATTGCTGTTTTCGCTGGACATACAGACGGCAAGATAATTTGGTTATGCCAATTAAATTTGATCGTTGTCCTAACAACAGTTTTGCCGCATCAACATTATTTTTCCCGTGCAAATCCTTCTCGCTGTCCCCGTAGTAACAATTTGCTGCGCCAGCGAATTTATTTTCATCCGTGTGCGAGTAATGAATAATAATAATAATATTGTTATCGCTATTATCATCGAACCGTTGTTCTATTCGGTACTCTTTTTATCTGCTTTATAAAATATGTAACGAAGGTTTGATTTTTAAATTTCTACAAATATCGGATACCCGTTCTCTGTTAAGTTTCTTTTTCTTTTCTTTTGATCCGCCTCATTAATGTGAATGTTACGTTTTCACAGTCATGAATTTTGCGCCGTTGTTTCTCGTGCAAATCGTGCGCATCTATAAAAATTCAACGCTTGTTTCGCGGTTTTGCATACACACCGTACGCTCTGTTGTGCGTTATAAAACATAAATTGAAACATCTCTTGGTTTAAACTGTAACTTCGAAACGCCCGCGTCTAAATTCCCGACCTAGAAGCTTCATTCCGAAGATCTAAATTTAAGATACCCCCCAGTTAGAATTGTAAATTCCCTTTCACACGCAGACGCGAATTTTCGTGGATCTCAACGGTCGGTCTTCCAATTGGAGGAACGACCCGCTCGAGCGTGATTGTATCGAACGTTAAAGTGCAATATGATGCGACCGGCATAAACAATAAGTTGAGTATCGTCGATTGCGCGGTTTAAATTAATCGGTTGGAGATACCCACGACTGTCGGTCCCGCTCCGGGAAATTGAATCGGGCGCACTGCACAAAATCCAGAGGATTATGTTCGCGTAGGCGACACCAAGACGGTAACGATAAGAGTAAAGCGCGTAGAGAGTAAGTGTTATCTGTAATTATAATCGTAACAGTGGCTGTAATTGTAACTTAGAGACGATTGATTGCCGCGGCGGGGAACGAAAAGTGGGGGGAGGGGAGAGGTGGCGAACTTAATTTTTAACGTTGATAGCGATTATTCTCTTTACTGTCAGTATTACGACACACTAGTGTACTCGTCTCGCCGGGATGCCAGCAAGGATCATTTGCTAGGATAATCGCGAGCCGAGTAAGCAGAGTATAGATGTAGAAATATGTCGCGAACGGCGCGTCTCCGACAGGCATCCGAATCTCATCCCGGGAACTATGGAAATATCGCGGAGAAGAAGCGCTGGATACGTCGAAAATATAAAAATTAATTGAATCCTTCACTTAAATATTGAGGTATTCCAGCGATTTGTGCATATCGATGGTATTACTCGCGATAAAATAGAATCTACGATTATTTTCGGAAACAAAGGGCGTTTTCCCAATTTTGTTATATTTAAAAGGATAAATATATTAAGAAAATATATTTTGTTATATTTAAAAAGTTATATACATCTATTAAGAAAATATATTTTTTGATGTAAAATTATTTTTAACTTTTATCAAATGTATACATTTTACTTATATTAAACATTTTTTATTACATTCTACTTAAATGTGTTCCATTTTTAAATATTGTATTTTTTCTCGCTTATCTGATAAAAAAAGTTATAAAATTCAATAAATTCAATAAGTATAGCGAGACTTCTACACGTACACGTGTCTATCGGATACAATGAATATAAAAATCGACGATGCGATTCAAGCATTAAAAAAAACGACGGCGATTAGGGCTGTTCGATTTTCCATCGATTTTTTTAGAAAATCGTTTTTCCCCTACTTTCGATCCTGTTTCAACTAACACAAATGAATCTTAATTATTTCTCGCGTTTTGTCAGGTAACCATCATAATAATCTTTCTTATCTATTTTTAAAATGAACTAATAATATAAAGACTTGCCTCAACCGGGAATGGAACTCGAAAGACGCCTCATAAACTTCGCAGGCTTAACAGATAAACGGGTCCCTCTCGGAGAAGAGCCGTTCGTTCGTTTTACTTTTGTAACCTTTTCTTATCGGTCCTATATCGTTGTTGTTCTTCGCTATTGATAAGACGATTTTTCACGGGCGCGTCGTTTGACAGGTGATTTATCGATTCGATTGATTGATCTTTCTATTGACAATAAAGCCCAGAACTGTAGACACAAGCGCAGTTCGTTGCGTTCTTTTTTTTTTATTACTATAGTTACTATAGCTTCTTCATCGAGAACGGCAAGATAAATTGGGATCGTGTATTATTATTATTATTATTATTATTATTATTATTATTATTATTATTATTGTACGACGTGTAATTTTAGATAAATGTTTATCCATATTCTACCGTGTGTGTGCGCGCGCACGTTTGATTGATTGATTGACTGGTCGGTCGATCGATTGTTCGATCGACAGTTTGAGTAAATAAGGTAAAAAAAAATAAATAAAAATAAAAAAACGAAGATGGAAGGGAGTACCCGTTCTTACGCGTACCAATGGACGCGCCTAATCGTTCATAGCGAAGCGAGAGTGTCGTGACGTAAGGATAATTCTTTGTATATGTTGTATATCCGGGTTCTGCCTAGTAGAGTGGGTAAGGTGACCAAGACAATAGTTGTAAGCGATTTTTAAGGGACTTCGATCGGTAATTCATCAATAATATACCGTACCCGCCGCCGTCCTTCCGCATTCATTTGATCCCCCTCCCATGTGCCAGTACCTATCTCGTCGGTTCGATTTCGATAATTGATGTCCAATTGCCGAAATTAATTAATTAATTACTCGGTCGATAATTAATTAATTTTGAAGCGATTTAATTTATTGAATCCGCCCTTCCCCGTGCTCCTTCATTTGGCCGACAATCGGTATATTTCTTTAACGTAGGAGAGTGTAATTTGATATCGTGTATTTTGGTAAATAGAGCGGAACAAAAATTTAATCGTGTGCACCTACGATGCAGAGAGAAAGAGAGGAAAGGAAAAGAGGAGGAGGAGGAGGAAGGAGCTTGCGTGTGTTACGACGCGCCCGATTTCGCGAACTTTCGCGGCTTCTCCGTCGTACTTCTTACACGGGAAAAAGATCAATGGAATCGGTCAGCAATGCTGTAATTGGAGTAAATCTTTTTGATTTAATAGCTATTATTTAAGCAACGTGCGATGTTAATAGCTTCGGTAATATTACATAATAATATTATATATTATATATAATATATATTATATATGTGATATGTGTGATATATATAGTATATAAATATTATATATAATATTATTTGATAACAACGTTGCTAATGAATCGGGAAGAACTATTTCAATTATACCGTCGCGGCAGCGTTTTTTCCCGTGCAGGTGCGATCCCTCTCACTCGGTCCTTCTTATTTTGTCGCGTCTCGTCGGGACTCGCGCGACGACACCGTAACTTATCGATCATTTACCTGTTGTACTTTGACCTCCGATAGCTCGGTGTATGTTTTAAGCATGGGAAACAAAAATCTACGCACCTCAAATACGCAGCGTGTGATGGGAGTGAAGAGTTTGCGCATCTCCTTGTGAGGAAAGGAAGAAGTGTCGATTCTTTCTTTTTTTTTTTTCTTTTTAGCGAACCATTATCGCCACGAGGGTCAATTAACACGTAAACGTGCGCTGTTTCGAGCAAATAAAGGAATAAATTCGCACGTCCGGCGGGATTCTCAGCTCCCAGATCGTCGGGTATAATCACAAAGTCGCTTCGTAGCGACGTGTAATTTGGGCGATTTAAGGTAACTTCTGGTGTAATCGAACGAGGCAGGAGGGCGAAAGATAAAGACGGAGGAGAAGGGAAAGACGTGAGAAAGAGGGAGAGAGGGATGGACGCGCAGCAACGAGTTAGTTAGCATAAATAATCCTTTGTATTTTGTATTTCTCATTTACAATAGCGTTACATAGGCACTTGTACGTAAGGTACTTGTAATAATTCGATCTACCACCTAAAAGTACAATGCATCTACCTACGTAATAAATATTGATTAATGACGGATTACAACGGACGTTCGCTTCATGTACAGGACATATATATATATACATATATATATACGCACCCCCTCTCTGTCACGAGGCGCTCGCTCGTCGCTCTCCGTGTTCCTCGTCTTCTTTTCTTTCTATCTTCTTCTCGCTATCGGTACACCCCCGCAACCATACCAGCCACTTCGTGTATAAAACTGTGTATCAAATCATCATCGTTCTGACCTAATCACTCCGACACCACTCTGTACGTTCTGATTACGACATATATATTCGACATATTCGTCATTCATAATTAAGATTCGATATATATATATATATATATAATATCGAACTTCATTAAAGTGGCCGATCGGACTCGCTGGTGTACTCGGTGGTATCGATACTGAGGGAAACGACGAAGACCTCGCCGCGCATAGACTGACGACCATGACCGCGATCGTCCGTCTGTCCTCCGTTCAGCATGTGATTTCGGGAGGACGTGCGATTACGTACGATCGCAAGATGTTTCTCTCAGGCTTCTCGATGTCTCGAGATATTTCTCAATCTTGAAAAATCACACGAAATCGCTATTCCATCTCGCTCTCACCTTTCAGAGGCCAAACTATAGGTTTTTACGTACATATGCGCGCATAAAAGAGCATCAAAAGCCGCAGACAAATGTGTCGCTATCACGGGTTTTTCTCTTCTTCAGGCTCGGCGTAGAAAAATCGCAAGTACAAAACGCGATCGATACATAGAAGGCGCGCGCGCGTGTGTGTGTGTGTGTGAGTGAGTGCGTGTGTATATATACTTAAGTACTTTGATATTTCGCCGTTTCTATCTTTTCTTCTTTTTTTCGTGTGTTTACACTTTTGATTCTGCATTATTTACACGATGAAAGCTCGAATATACGCCGCAGGCTTTCGCTTAACATCAACGATGTGAAGGTAGTAATAACACAGGAGCGACGGTAAAGTAACGTACGATAGTAACAATAGAGGTAATAGAAAAAGAAAACGACGTATCTCGTAAGTATCCGCGCGTACCTAACATATATAAGTGTCTCGCTCCTCGCAATAATTATTATAATTATTATTATTACGGAGGCACCTGAATATATTTTCCTACATCTTCCTTCTATTTTCCCCCCTTTTGGTCTCGCTTGTACTTGTAGCATCGGCGTTGTAATAAACGGAGCAGGAACATTGTGAATTGTCGCGGGAAAAAAACGGTGAATGCACACGCATACGGGGTGGACCCGGTGAAGAAAGAGGAAGGAACCGACCGGACTATCCGCTGGCAGTGATGTACGACGAATTATGGACCCGCTTCTAGCCGCGACGTTCTCGCCGGACACCCCGTGTGTATCCGCGCTTGTCGGAGTATATGTTCATATAACGTGCGTGTGTGTATATATATATATACATATATATATATAAAAGAATCGTTCTTTGCTGTGTTATCTAACGTTAAGTACGTCCACGTCAGCCCGCCGGTTCACCAAGGATCCTGCGTGGCGGCCGAGTTGTCGAGGATCAATCGAGTCTCTCAGGGATTAATTCCCAGCGATCGATCGTAGCGCAATTCCTCGAGGAACGCCCGAAGAGTTCACGCGGGCATTTAAGGAAGTTGTAAGGCGAAATGAGTTTGATGAGAATTCGATGAAACTCGCATTACTTGTACACATTAAAAAATGTTATTCCGACTGGTCCGTATAATTAGAAAAAGCTCGACCAGAGCTGAGATATTTGCAACTAATTTGACACTATTTATACACGTTCCTTGAGATTAGCGTGCCATTTTTCATTTCTCCCAAATTAAAAATGAGATTTTGATAAAAAATTACTATGATATTAAAAACTATACAATATGCAGATATATGCAAATTGATTATTTAGGTAGTAAAACGAACATGTATACTCTGTCGGAAAGATTTCTCATATAACTATATATAGAATATGTTCATATATATAAAATATATAATTATATATCAATATATATTTATGTATATATATATGATAGTCGTCACTAAAAATACGAGCCTTACAATCTCCTTAAATTCTAGCTAGTCAAAATCTCGTCTCAATTATGACGCCTCACCCTCCCACTTTTCTTCTCCGCGCTGCGACAGTTTCACAATCAACGGCCGATTGATCGGGTAACAAATTTCGGTCTCGTGATCCTCAAATCTTTCAAATGTTTACAATCGTAGAACTCGACGATTATGCAGACTCTTGGAAAATACAAAAGACCTTTTGTTGTGGTCATTAGCATTCTTTGTTCTTCATTTTCGCGCGCGCATCCCCTGATCTTTTTTCCGCTTACATTTAAAATTATTCCCTTCTGGTTTTTCCTTCTTTCTTTCCCTTTCGTTGCTAAGACAAAATTATTCTCGGCCATAATTAAGTGAAAAAAAAAAAATCCTTGCCTTTGAGCACCTCCCACGAATCCCGACTGATTCCCTGAAAGCGTTCGCGATGATCGTTGAGGAGAGATCCCGGTGAGATCCGACAGGTTGAGCTTCCCGACGAAATCTGAGTCAGACTGACACATAAGAATGACGTAATAATACTGTTACCGCAGACGCGTCGATTGGCGGGAACTTTTCATCTCCTCTCCTTTCCTCCTCTTCGTTCGAAAAACTCGCCAGGTTGTCCGGAAATGTTCAGACACCCGGTATATACCGGCGATAATAGCGGACCGCGCTGCGATATGGCTGAGAATTCCCGACGAACTAATTGGAGAAGGGGACAGAAAAAAAATAGTAACAAAAATGAAACGTCCAACTATAAGGCCGCGCAGCTTGCGGTAAGAACGATGATTAATTCATTAATCCCCCCCCAGTGAAGATTCCTCGTCGCTCCTCTCGCCTGTCCTGCTGGCGTCTCTCCGGGTCCTTTGGATCCTCGAATTAATCTCGTGTCCTGCGAGAGATCCTGTCCGATATAGACTCGACCAAGAATCATATCGCGTCCTCGGCTTCCCCGGACGCTTCGGCTACCCTCGGAACCTCGAAACTCCTCGGAACTACGATCTCTCCGTGTTTATCCGGACGAATCTCCCCGTTCGTTCTTAATTTCCCTGCTGTCCTGGCGGAAAGTTGGAGCTCCTCCTGGAGATTCGGTTGGATCCAAGGCTCGGCGGGAACGACTCGCGGCGGACCTTCAACTTCGGCTACCGGGACGGTATTCTGTCTGTGATCTGCCGCAGGCGATTAGACAATTAGCGGGCACGCTGATCAGAGCGTCGTGGACGCACGCTCGCGGTAGCTGTTACTGGCGACGCCGGCCAGGGCCTCCGCCATCGCCTTGCCGGTCTCGTTCACCATGCTCTTCAGGAAGCTGGTCTCCTTCTGCAGCAGCAGGTGAGGATGATCGAATTCCTGTCGGGCGAGAAGAGAGCGGTCCGTTTTGAGGAGAGAACTCGCGATTTACGATCCACTCTCTCGTTTCGAGGGCTGTATTTTCTCCCCAGCGGGCGAGAGAGACGCACACCCCGACGCGCGCACGTGGCGGTTCGATAAAATATTTACGATTTCTACGCGGGGCCGCGCACACACGACGGAAATATACAGTCGCTCGTCGTGCCCGCGACCGCTCGTGTCGCGGAAACGGGCCCGCTTCGAAATACTTCCGTGCCGGAAATAATTGGAAATTACCGGGGCAAACGAGAAACAAGATTTGTGCGATAAGGCGCAATCAAAGCGGGAAAATGGAGTGTGTGCGCGCGGTAATAACAGCGGTAATACGAATAATCTGTTCTACGTAATTACCCAGATAGCACAGAGGTGAATAAAAGCGGAGAATTCATTTGAAAGGATACGCCTGGAATTAGGGGAATTAATATTGAAGAATTAACCACCGATCAATGAAGTCTTGAAGTATCCCGCGGAAGTTTATTATAACAAGTACTTCGTGACTTGGCGCACTGGATATTCTCGGAGAATTCGTGAGGAATTACGAGTGTTTTGTTCGTCACTTAATTAATTCTCGCGGTTACGTCCAGATGTTAGTGTTACTTTCAGCGCTTTGTGTGCGCGTTATTATTTGCGCGTAATTTCTTAAAGAATTATAATTCAGGAAAGGCGAAAACTTTAGAAACACTTGAAGGATTCGTCGTGCTATCTGGGTAAAACCAAATCTTAAAAAGAAATATATATGGGAACAAAAAATATATCATCACATATAGTCGCGAAAAAAATAAAAAAAATTATTAAATAGTTAAATGATTTTCCTCAAACGCGTAAAATCGGGAGAATTTCACGGGCTGTCACTATCGTAAAAATAATAATAACGAAACGGTTCAAGAAGTATTTTGCAGCTTACCGTCTCTAGTTTCTACATACATTTTTTAATATAACGTTTATTGACCTTTTTACTGTACCATATGAATATAAACCGAAATCCGTTGAACGTCAAACATTTTCATGAAGTTTGTCAAATTACACCGCGCAAACGAAAAATCACACACAAATGCCGTTCCGAACGTTTGAAAGCGCAAACTTTCCCTTTTAATTTGCATACGCGCAGATTGCCGTGCGATTTTTATTTCACCGAGTTATTCAATGTTGAAACGAAAAATGTCCTTTCGGCTTTGATCGCGCACAAAAGGCGAACGAATCACTGTATGACTGTTTGTTAAAAAATGAATAGAAAACTGATAGTTGCCACTTTCAAATTCAACCTTCGTATTTTTAACAAATACACGTTTTCGATGCAAAAACTCCATTGAAAGTTGACGTTGAAAATTCAACGGTGGCCATTTTTCATTCAGGACGATATAGTTCGGCGACGATAGATTGCAGCGTTACGGCCGCAATATTGTCGAAAACTAAAGCTTCAAGCTTTAAAATGCTTTTTACACTATCTCGTTATCTTTATTTTTGCCGAAGTTGCAACCCATTGAAGTTTGCGTCTTTTTAATGTTCAAGTAAAAATATTACTTAGTCTGACTTGTATTACGATCTGAATTCTTTGTTAAAGTCGATGGCGCCGAAGGTAGTAAAGACTTCGAAATTAAATTTTGAGGAATAATTTTTAAAGATTTAAACCCTTTTGCTTATTATGCTAAGATTAAAACCCTTTTGCTTATTATGAATATAAATATTTGTCATGAAGATCAATGCTTATTTAGCCGTTGGAGAATCCCTATTCTTTTTTAATTCAAAACACATATAGCCGATATAAATAAAACCTATTTCGCTAAACTACATTTTTTTTATTATTTAAATATATGGAGAACCTAGGAATTATCCATCTACCGAAACTTTGGTTAACGGATTGCCTGGCGCCATCTAACGCTGTCGAACAAAACCTCGTTAAACTTATATGGTTTGAGTCTCGGCTAAATAAAGTTCGAGTCTCGGGTCTGACAATTTTTAGTTCCAAAATTTCCGCTATGAGTCGCCACTGTCCCGACGAACAATCGAGAAAGTGATACGATAAGTCAGACGTACTTTTTTACTCGATCATGAAAATAACGTAAATATCAACGAGCTGTAACTTCGGTAAAAATGGAGATAATGAGATGGATCAAAAAGCATTTTAAAGCTTGAAGTTTCTACTTTTCGAATATTTTAAGCGTATATAATTATTATTGTTTTGCGCAGAGGTATGTATCAATTTTATCGATCTTGTTTTATCGATCATCTTCTAATAAAATTTTCGCATTGAAAAATTATTTGCAATGAAATGGTGAAGGATGCAATTAAAAAATGAAACTTTCAGCTTTCTATTTCGTTTTTAAAGAACATAGTATGCTAATTTCTTCGTCTTCTACACGCAATCAAAGCAGAAAGGACGTTTTTGCTCCAACAATGAATAACTTAGTAATGAAAAATCGTATTGCAATCTACGTATACGCAAATTACAGGGCTAACTTCATGCTTTTAAGCGGTGCAAACCGCATTCACCTGCGATTTTTTGTTTAGACGGCATAACTTGACGAAGCTTCATAAAAATTTTTTACATTCATCGGATCTCAATTTACATTCGCGTAGCACCTTAAAAAACAAATTACCTTCATACCCAGAAATATACATAAAAACTAGAGACTTCAAGCTTTAAAATACTTTCCTAACCACCTCGTTATCATAATATTTGCGTAACAGCCCGTTGAATTTGAATTAATTCCTGTATTCGAGAAAAGCGATTCTTCAATTAGCATTCATTTCTGACAATTATATCCTGTAAACACGTGCAAACTGAAACAAGTCACGGGAATGAAAAGTGCCCGTTTGAAATGACGTCAAATGTAAAATGACAGCGCGAATACAGCCCAGGGGGAAAGAGAGGGATGCGATGAAAGAAAACTTACCACCGCGCTGCCGGCGTCCATCACCAAAATACGATCGCTGTCCATAACAGTGTTGAGCCTGTGGGCGATCGTGAGCACCGTGCAACTCTCGAACTTCCTGCGGATGGTCCTCTGGATGAGCTCGTCGGTGCGCGGATCCACGTTCGCGGTGGCCTCGTCCAACACGAGTATCGGATTGTTGCGCACGATGGCGCGCGCCAAGCAAACCAACTGTCGCTGGCCGACGCTGAGATTGGAACCGCCCTCGTTGACGTGCGCCTCCAGGCCCATCTCTTTCAGTTCGACCTCCTCGAGCGCCTGCCACAACACGTCGTCCTTGTACGTGTCGAAGGGGTCGAGATTGCGCCGGAGTGTGCCGGAGAAGAGGAACGGCTCCTGCGGGATGATGCTGATTTTGCAGCGCAGGTCGTGCAGGCCGATGGTGCTCGTGTCGACGCCGTCGATCTCGATCGGACCCTCCACGTCGGCCAGGCGGAAGAGCGCTGAGATGAGGGAAGACTTTCCGGCGCCGGTGCGGCCGACGATGCCCACCTTCTCGCGCGGCTGGATGACGAAGCTGAGGTTCTTCAGCACGGGCGGCTCCAACGGCGCGTAGCGCATCCACACGCTCTTGAACTCGATCTTGCCTTCCTCCGGCCACTCGTCCGTCGGTTTCTTGTCGGGGGTGCTCTCGAGAGGAGGCTCGCTGCTTAACTTGCTGCAGGGAAATAGCGAAGGATTGAAATGTGATGCTTATTCGATCGAAGAAAATTGTAGTTCAAATTGGTCATAATTAAAACTTCTGAGAGCGTGGCAGCCTTCTATTATCTTTCTATTTGGTCCATAAGACATAATAATGATATTTATAGGATTTACCCAAGTTTTATTAGGATTTTTATGGATCTCTTAAATATTTTAATTTTTATTCATAACTATTTCTATAACTTTCACTATTTACTGTCATTACTTTTAGCTTTAACTACTTTCATTCCCTTCATAATTCATTTTGGTTACGTTATCTAAAAACTTGAATGAAACATTTTCAGATAGATAAGATTTTAATGTTCTATTATAAAGTTCCATTCAAGTTTTCGGTCTTAAATTATGAAGAAAAGTCCGAATTATGAAGGAAATGGTAACGGCTGATTAAAGGTTAAATAGTGTCCATAACGTTATAAATAATATAATATAGTATATAAATATAGCGTAGTTAGTTAAATGAACAATTAAAATATCTAAAAGAAATCCGTCATAAATCTGCAATAAAATTAATATGAATCCGATAAACGAAGCCTTGAAAGTTGCTGACACGCTACCTGTATTCGAGAACGCGTTCCACCGATGTCATTTGGTTCTCGAGCTCGGCGCTCTGCCGCATGCCCCACTGGAACATTCCCGTGAGGCCGATGCTCTGGGTGATCGCCAGGCCCACCCTGCCGCCGTCCATCGAGCCGGGACCATCGTTATCCAACACCAGGAAGCTCAGAGTGACCAACGCAATATACACCACGCAGAAAACGTCCAGCCAGAAGCCGAACGCGCGCGAGGAAGCGATGAAGATGTACCACGCGGACGAATGGAGATCTTGGTGACGATCGAACTCTCTCGTAAGGATTTCCGAAGCCTCAAAAGCACGAATCGTCGGCAGTCCTTGCAGAGTCGCGCTCAGATGAGCGAAGACCGGCGAACGTGCTGGGGAGTATCGAAAATTCGCGGTCAGATGGTCGAAAAAATGTATCCGTGAGATTGCCACTCGATTACTGGCAAATATTCGATGACAATTATACGGCATTTTATAATTCTAATATAGTATCATATAACTACTTAAATTATAAATTGTACACTTATGATGTATTCATTTTTTATGAGGAAAAGAAAAAAAACATCGGAAAAATCGACTCCACAAAAGAATGATAAGAAATATCGCTTAAACGTTGGAGCTTATTTATCATTTAACGTATTAGTAAAGCGTAATTATTCAATCGCAGTGCGAGTTGCAGACACTTACTCACGCCCTCCAAACGCTTGACGCTGCGGCTGGTGGCCAGGTAGAAGACTCTCAGGTAGTAGAATACGATCCCGATGATCACGGTGGGTATCAGTAACCAAGGATTCGCGATGGCGACCACGACGATGATGCCGAGTAACGCCAGGCCGATTTGGATGCAGTCGATCAGGGCGATTGGCAACAGCTCATCCACCGCGCCCATGTCTTTGGAGAAACGATTCAGTACGCGTCCCGACGTGTTGGTGTTGAAGAAGCGCATAGTGGCGCGGCTGATGCAGCGGAACATGTTGTCGTGCAGTCGTCTGGAGGCGCGCATGCACGCCCAGAAGAAGGAGAACGAACGGACGAGGGTTATGACGATGGTCAATACGGTCACCCCGGTGTAGATGTAGATGTAGGCCTGCCGGGAGAGAGGACTCGGGTCGACCACCACCGTGCCGTTCGCCGTTTTGTTTACCTGCGCAACCGGTGATGAGCAATGTGTACCAAGTCCGCAGCACTTGTCAGCGTACATTGCAACATGTTAATCACGTCTCTGACGTGTCATTAAGCTCTTCAGGGACGGTTCTCTCAAGTCGGATGAAAATTACTCCATTTTCAAGCGACATCAATGTGACACCACTTCTACCGCGTATAGTTTGAGAAAATCCGTTTCCACCTCCATTTTCGCCGCGAATTTCTTCCGTCTCCTAACTCCTTCACGGGGAAAAGTAAATGTTGCAGGGTTTAACGGGTGAACAAACGTGAATTTTTCTGAATTTTTGTATCCTCGGCACCGAAGCTGAAGAAATTTGCGAAGAAACGGGGGAAAAACGGGTTTCCTCCGAAACCTGGAAATTATATAAGCGTGTGACGAGGTTTCCCTTTTTCTTGTGGAATTTTACCGTGAATGTTCTCGTTCGCAGTACTGTTCGTTATATCTTCGTCGAGAGTTTAAATATTTAAAAAAAAAACGAACATATTTAAACATACACGCGTGTTCAATATTCTGAAAAAGGTTAATAAGTCATTTGACATCATTAACATCGTATTCGCTGGATAGATATTAAAGATTGAAAATTGCGGCATAGCTTAGACAGCATAAATGTCTGAAAATGTTTAAGAAACCTCTAACAAATCACCTACTTACTTCAGACGTCTTTGAAATATCGCGAAGAGACGTATTTTAGACAGATTTGCGCTTTCTGAGAGAGAACGGAATTCGACTGGTCAACTAATTTCGAACCTCTCCGTCCAGATCCAATCTTCAATACCTAACACGATGACCTCCGAAGATTCGGTTTCCGTAAAGTCGTATTCTGTACTCACATGTATCTCTTCGAAGTCTACCCAGCGCGCGAGGAAGAAGTCACCGCCGCTGGCGGCGGCTTGCGCTAAGATGCAGAGCAAAGCGACCGTAATAATGAAGCACCAGTTGCCGCCCGCGTGGAAGTAGTCCGAGTAGACTTTGCCGGAAATAGTGCCGACCGTTCGCATCTCAGCCACCTGAGAGATTTCCAATTATCATTCAATCCGTGACCGCGTAATTCATTGAAATTACTTGAACGGAGTTCGTAAAAACATTGCTTGAATTAAACAGCCGGAATTATCTGAACTGATTGAAGTCACCAACGCCTGATTCAAATAACGTTATCTGTGCATTCGTGGATCAATCTGTCTTAATATAAAAAAAAATTTTTTAATTACAAAGATCTAGATAATATCTCAGTGTTGGAAGTCGCTTCTTACCTCGTCCGGCTCCTGCCTGGAGGTGTCGTTCGTCATGAACGAGCTGAGCGACGTGATACTGGCGTTACGTGAGTTGCTACGGCTGATTGGCGTCGAAGAAGGCTGATTTTCGTCTGTTTGAGTTTGAGTCTCCAGCAGTCGGCCGAAATCCACCCCCATGGAACCCAATTCGTCGTACGTTCTAATAAACAAAAAATACTCCCGATGACGAAAAAGTGTATGATATCCTGGATATATTTTTAATTGCTCTCTCTCCCTCTCTCCCTGTTATATATAAGGAACCAATATTACAAGAACCAATATTACAAGAATCTGTAGATATTAAAGCGAGATTAAAAACTTGCAAAACGTCAGTGTGAACAGGAAATATAATACAAGTTGAAAAAATAAGGAAGAATCAGGATTACGCACCCTTCAGCCTGGATAGCTCCATCCTTCAACACGATAATCCTGCCGACGTTTCGTAAATACTGCAACTGATGAGTCACCAAAATTCGAGTTTTCCCTTGCAGATACTTGTCGATGCACTCCTCAAACATGTGCTTGCCTACGTGAGCGTCCACGGCGCTCAAAGGATCATCGAGAAGATATATGTCGGACTCGGCGTAGACGGCTCTCGCTAAGTTTATCCTGGAAATAATACACTTCATTAATGTATAATTAATATTAATGAGAGAACGGCTCAAGATATTTGCGAGAAATAGAGAGATACTGCTCGATAAACTGGACAAATGAATCAATGATAAAATTCAAATCAATAATCAATAAATGAAAATAGATAAATTCTTCTAAATGTTCCGGACGTATCTTCTCTTCACGCATTTCGCATTTTTGTGTCGCTGAAAATCGTGAGTCTGCAAAAATTCCCGATCTCGTTCAAACTATATCCCGATAGTCTTACGTTTGTTCGTGTAATTCTTTCACGTGACATTTATCGGCGAGAAATACGCCAGGTTCTTGAGATATGTCAACAAAAAAAAAAAACAGTGGATCTAGCAGATATTGTTAACGGAGCGCTCAACAAACTGTGTAATCGTTAATTACAGAAGCAAGCAACTAACGTTTGCCAGACGAAACGTGACGATAAGATAATTCTGAGTAGTGTGCGTACGTGAGAGGGTGAAAGAGGAAAAGATAATAGGTGAACGTCTTCTGTAGATATCTAAGTAAATATATGATGAAATAATCTCTCACGACATAACGAATAATAAACGAAAACGACCGAATTATTTGCGTTATCAAAACAAGAATATGTCTCCCAAATACTTCGCGAATTTTTAAGAGACGTTGACAATTTCATTTTATTTCTTTAAAGATCTCTTGAATCCCTTTAAAGTGTCTTTGAAAAGTCAAATAAAGTTTAATATCCCTGAGGCTATTTCAGCTATCGAAATATACGCCAAATGAACGCGCGAAACAGGGAACGGGCGTGAGGTTTATCTCGTTTATTTAGCTTGTAGCTCTGACAATATTAATTTCTCCGATGCACGTCGAGAATCCACAACGAGAATTTCTTCACTTTAATAATAATAATAATAATAATAATATTTCTTTTATTGGCCGCGCTATTGTTTACGGACTCTAAAAGTATTGAAGATACTAGAAGACGTTGAGATCGACCAAAAAGGCTCAGCATCAGCGGTAAAGCTGGTTTTACTACCTTGCCTAAATAGATACAACTGAATAATAACAACGACCAAATAACGACGCAAACGTATAAAATTGAATTTGAACAGTAACAACGTCACATATACGTTAAACAAATTATAATACATAAATAATCAGTCGTTTTCATGAGTACACGAATCCTCTTTTTCTCATATTCTGTATTAAGAATTAACGCGCATATCCGCTTTTATCGCTATGGAGCGGAGGAGCGCGAAAGTAACAAAAGATTCGGAGATCAAATATTTACACACGCGGAAAATCTCGATAAGCTTCGCGATGTTCGGAGCTTTTTGTCGTGTTGAAACGAACCTTGCGCGTTGGCCGCCGGAGAGACTGATACCTCTCTCGCCCACAATGGTCTTATCGCCGTAAGGTAACAGGCTGAAGTCTCTCTTCAGCTGGCATACTTTGATCACGCGGTCGTATCGGATCTGATCCATCTTACGGCCGAACAGGATATTCTGCCTCACCGATCCGGCGAACAGCCACGGCTCTTGACTCGCGTAAGCGACACCGCTGTTTACCTGGAGAAGAAAAGGACCCTCCGTGATATCGTAATAAGATTAACAGAGGCGACTAGAAACTCCCGACTCGAAAGGTTCCCAGTAAGATAAGATAAGAATAAAGTTCGGTGATTTAAGCTGTTATATAAGATTCACCTATGATTTAATACGCTTTGTGCGCTTTTAAAAAGATAAATTTAAATCGATTAAAATAACTCTGAATAGATTTCAATATATTTTCACTAGATTTTCTTTTAAATGGATTTGAGAAACATACAAAGTGAGGTAACAACTATTATTACCTTGAATATTTTCGAAATATGTAGAAGGATATTTGTCTAATGGAAATTGTATTTGATACTAGTGGTTACTATCTTCTGGGAATATCGACTTTTTGTCTTCATCGAGTCGTTAACGCGCATTTCGGAGGAAATCTCCGTCAAGCCACGCGCGCTGCTTAGAAGTGCACTGGTATTGTGGTATAGCAATGCCAAGCGCAATAAAGCTTCAATAAAATCCATTCAAATTTTTTGATAAGAAATATTTAAGTACATTAATGATACGATCCTGAAATTACTTAAAATTTATTAAAATTATGTAACTTTTTTAGTTTTATATCGTATTTTATACTGTCAGTCACCGGTGACTGACGCGGCAATTAACGTGTTAATGAATTATTTTCATTTTTCGTAGACGTTCAAAGTGGTTGTAGTTATTTCGTCACTCTGTACGGCACACATACCTTAATAGTACCGGATTGTAAAGGCAACTCCTTCAGGATAACGTTCATCAGGCTGCTCTTGCCTGCGCCGACTTGGCCGACGACGGCGATCAGTTCGCCGGGTCGCACTTTGATAGTGATGTTCTGCAGGGTGTTTTCTTTTTCTTCGACCAACCATTTCGTGGTGGCGTTCTCGATGGAGATGATGTACTCCTTGTTCTGATCGCCGTGGTCGCCGTGATCGCCTTGATCATGTCGCACTTCTTGCTGATCGTCCTTCTCCTGGTCGATCTTTCCTTCCTTCGTTTTATTCCCCGTAATATCCATCTCTATGATGTTCTTGAACTTTTCCTTCCCGTTGATCATCGACTCAGATTTACCCGCGTGCTCGAGCTCGTCGTACATCATGAATTTCTGCAGACGTCGGATGGACACCATCGCTTCCGCCGTCTGCGTTATTCCTAATTTAGGGCACCGGAGAAATCGTCAAACTCGCCATGGTAATTCACTCAGGTCTCTTAAAGTAATTGTATCGCAAAGTGTCGTATTTTCAATGGCGCGTCAAGGGGACTACTTTGTAAATTTAGTATTTGTCAAATCAAATTACGTTTCTGTACATTTCTATCTAAATAATAAATGTGAAACGAAGTTGAGGCAGACATATACACAATATTGCAAATACGAAATTATTATCCTTTATTTTTACTATTTTACTATCTTCATGGAAACGATGCTAACTACGACGATTAATTTATTCGCGCGAAGAATTGCAAGAAGGAGGAGAATAGGTGAATATAAAAAGGTAAATACGCTAGATAAGGATTATAGGATAAGGAACAAAGATAAAAGATAAAAAGTAAAGAATATAGAAAATAAAAATAAGATAAAAATAAAGAGAGGGAAATAGAGAGAGAGAGAGAGAGAGAGAGATAAAATCACCGTGAGGAAATACCTTGGGGGAAGAAAACCGTCATCGTAGTACGTAGGATGTTGTAGTAAGCGGTGACCATGAAGACCTTCTCGGCTGTTATCTTGTTATCAAACAGTACGTAAACCAGCACCGTGATGAACAATGACATCCTTGTGGTGAAGATGATGAACGACATCGTAACACCCCGAATGTACGACGTCGCTCTGATGACATCGATTTCTCTCCTGTAAACAAATTCCGCCGTGCTTATCTCCCCTCCTCTTCTCTCTTTTCATCGTGAACCGTTTGTTCTTTTTCGGTGCCGGAAAACCACACGGGCGCTCGTGTAATACTTCCTTGAATCGGCCGATGTTTTATTATATACACACCCACCTGATCCAATGAAGCGTTCGGCCGATACGAAAATACAAGATAGTCGTAAATAAGACACCGTGTGTATGAATAACTCGGATAAGCGCGCGTGCATATTTGATAGCGCTTGCCGCAGCGACGCACGCAGTGGGCGGTATTAATTTACCTGTCGGTTAGACGACGGAACGTGCGTAAAAATTGTTTCGATGTGTCGGGCAAGACAATTCGATCATTTGCGATGTGATCTACTCGCGTGCTCGCGGTTCGTCGAACTCGCGGAGTTTATTGGGGGAATTTACTATCGAGGGCTGTAGAAAAATGTTCGATAACGCGAATTTTAGGATTTTACATACTAATTTTACATACTTTGTTTCGACGAGATATCAACTTATCTTGAGAAGATTAGTTTATCAAATGCGTCAGATGGTTATATTCAAATGATTGATATATTTATGCGCAAGAAATGTTTAAAGAGAAAAGAGAGATCTTTATCGTAAAATTCCCCGTTAAAACGAAAAAGTTCTAAGCACTTCAAATTATTATAAAAACACGAATGATAGTGCAACGATAAAAAGGCGATAAATACAAAGTGTTCTATTTGAACGACAAGGCCGTCCATTATCATTTTGTTCGACGGTTTTATCAATTGGCGACTTCAGTCAATGAACATATTTCGAGGAGAATGTGTCACGGGTATTCACGAGACGTGCGACGAAAGCCGAAATCGAGCTGCGATATCGTAAATAATTATATAAACGTTAAAAGAATGAGATCATGATAAAAATTCAACGAAACGTAGAAAATTGAAATATTAATCGTCCTCAAAATAGAAAATAATTATCGTTAATGTCGCAATTCCGATTGCATTTCAAAACGAACGTTTTATTTAAAGATGCAATTTAATTGCTTTACGTGCAAAGTCATCGCGAGTGTGTTTTGCAACGGTATGTTTTCTCTCTCTTTTTCTCTTTAGCGAAGGTGCGTCGTTTGCTCGCGTGATTAATATAAGTATTACTTGCGCAATCCGCGTAAGTGCAGTACTCACTTTCTCGCCATTTCGATGAGCGCGCTGAATGGCTTCTCCCAGGTGTACATCTTGATCGCTTGAATTCCGGTGATAATCTCATTCGTCAATCGCACTCTCTCGTCGGTCCTGATGGCGGTTTTCAATCTCAGAACAGATGATCTCTTACCCAACCAACCTGCGGAATTCCGAGATGTGAGAGAATTACTGCCTGTCGCTATTCAGCGATTCTTTCGACGCCGCGCGTTAAATAGCGACGAATTTCGCAGTAAATAGAAACGCGAATTTAAAATTTAGAATTAAAAAATTGGAATTTAAAAAAATATGGAATTTGAGATATAAAATTGAAAAATTGGAACTTTGGAGATCGAAATCTGATATCTTCGGGAACCTCAAAATTTACACGGAAATATTAGTCTTAACTCAACATAAATATTCTCATATATACAAGCTAAAATATTATAATATTCTTAAAAGATTTTTAATCTTGAATCGAATTTGGGTAATACTTGCATCAATACAAATTCGATCAAATCAAGGCTAAAAATCTTCTAAGAAGATTATAATATTCCTGCATATACATGAGAATATCTATTCTTGATTTAAGATTAATTTTCTTCTGTGTAAAAACTTGATAATCCGCGGATATAATCTCGAAGATCTGCGGATATTTTGACAAGTATTCGAAGATTAAGAAATCTTAAAGATTAGAAATCAAAGGCTTCTGGCACGACACGTTCCTGCCGAGACTTCTCTTATCTTAATTATTCTTTGCGAAGCCAACACGCATCAAGTCATATTTCCAGTCCGCCGTTCATTCACAACAATCGCGTAACTCGCGAACCTTGACTGCCTTCTCCTCCTTCTCCTCTCAACTGTCATCGCGTCTTACCTTGCAAAGGTATAAACAGCAGTAGAACAGCCACCCCGATAACCGAGGATATCTCGACTTCTATGTACATGAAGTACATAAGGACGATGGTCTCCACGGGCCCGATCCATAGATAATGCAAGAATATAATGGCCACGTCGAACCTGCTCACGTCATTCGACAGGAGATTCACCGCTTGGCCGATCGTCGTCTCCCCCAACGCGGTCCTCGTGAGCTTCAACGCCTTGCGGTAGATCAGTGAACAGCAGGCCACGCGGATCTTCATGCCCATGTGCAATATCGCCATCATGTAGGGGTGGATGACGAACACATTGACGGCGGAACACAAGATCACGCCAGCGGCGTACCAGTACGCTTCCGTCGAGTCCATCTCCTTCGTATTGAAATATCGCAACAATCGGCCGAGACATAGCGGTTGCAACACCCTGTACGTGGGAAAATCGACCATGGTTGAGTCGAAGTCGTTTCGAAAAAGCCAAATCGACGACGGCGCGGCCGTTCACTGATAAATCGCGACATTGTGGTTTCGCGTGTGGCCGAAATTCGATTGATAATACGATTCGCTTCGAGTTCGCGAGAAATTCACGGTGAGATATATCGTATTTTGTGTTCGAGTTCTCCCGGTGCTCCAATCGCGGAGGGCGATGCTTAACATATTTCTGACTGACTGGTATCTTCATCGTATTATCTTTGCAAATCAATACAATCACTTTATATCTTCATCAAAAGGATTATGTCTTGTAAACAAACCTGAATAAATAAATAAAATAAAAATATATTGTAAAACTTACATATAATATTACAAAATAAATAAAACGAAAATATATTTTTCTCGAACTTCCATCGCCTATTGCCTAAATATTGTCTAATTGTCTAAGTGTTGCCGGTCGGCAACGCGTTAATATCAACGGATCGAAGTGCTACTCGGATATTTGCGCGGCCTCTCTTACGACTGCAACGAGGCGATCAGATACGTACCTAAGTGCAATCTCCATGATTGCCAATAGTATTCCATAAAGTGCGATCTTGACGCCGAAGCACTTGATGATGACTTTCAACAGGCTGGGCCGTGCCCCCTTGCCCCGATGTTGCGCCGCCTTGCGTTCTTTCTCCCAGGCGTCCGCTATTTTAACACCAAGAATACCACTTGTATGTTCGTTAAGCGGTTTGTACAAATCAGTTACTTCAAGATCTCTGCGGTAACCCACCCAGAAAGTGCGTAGAATCCAACTGCGAAGAAGCAAAGCACACGTTTTTCTTCCTTTTCTCGTTTGAATTTTTTTCTTTTTTTAACTCGCACACGAACGGCCCGCAATCTCGCCCGCCGGCTATTCTTCCCGCGTCTCTCCCTATTTTGTTTCCTTTCTAAGATGCCGTGTGTGTTCCTATCTCGCTATTATTATTTTCCCGGGGTCCCTAAGCTATTATAGTTTTCTGTATTACGTAATGCGAGACCATCCCGAAACTTCCTGCGAGGTTAAAATTATAATTAAATCCACGCTTGAATCGTGATTTGCCGTTCATAAGCAAATCCAGCTATGAAATCGTGGAATCGCGCGCATATTCCGATGGAATATTGTCAAAATGCCTCCGATCTGCTCCGGAACAGCGCGCGATTATTTCTCCTCGAGAGATAAGTCAGCTGTCGAATATCATCGAGTGCAAAAAATCGCAAGAAATTAAAATCGTAAAATTGCGCGAATATATACGTTCAGATAGATATACGCAAATAGTATCGATGCAAAAGCAGTTTGCTCAATAAAATAGTCCAAGGTGGTTTCCCGAGCACTTTTTGCGCTTCTCACTTATCCGCGCTGCTCGACGCGCAGATAATTCACACAGTTTGCTTATCAGCGCGATCTAATATATCTATTACTAATGGATGAACACGCGAACGAGAGAAAACAGGTGAGTCCGATGGATCCGTTTTATCTCCCTGTTTGCGCGTCCATTGTGGCGGCCGATTAATCTCGGAAAACAACTGGATATCCCGCGAAAATACAATCCGTTGCGTCGAAGCGCGAGATAATACTAATTCCCTTGTAATTAAAAACACCCTCTGCGAGGAATTAACGTAATCTCCCGGTTGAATCTCTTCGACTGCAATTTTTCCGACGTTACGACCGGTGTGCCGGAATGAGCGGGTCGAATCTCAACGCTCTGTCGAACGTGCGACGGTAACCGATTTTTCGTAAATCGAGTCATTAGTATAACACGATTGCGACACGGGTTTGAATTTCCGTGACACGCATTTACACAAGGGCGCCCCGTAAATATTTGCCCCAACATCGAAGGAGGTCGAGCCGAATTTTATCTGTCTTCTTAAAGGTGTGATCTCTCGCGTTGCGTAATATGGACGATAACAATAATAGCTTATAGGAGCATGACGGGGATAATGACAGCTCGCTATATAGTTCGTTAGAAGAGATCAGAGATCAGCCGTATTTGTATTTCTAGGTGAAACTGCCTTTACAGAACGATTATATATAAATAATATATAATTATATGTCAATAAGTGCGAGATACAGCTGTAATTTTATCTGTTGGCTTTCCAAGGTGAGCTGATTTCATTTAAAAAAAAAAGTCATCTTTGATACCTTCATAAAGCGCGGAAAACACAGTGGAAAACACAGCTAAGCCAATTATCAAATATTTATGAACGATAGTACACGAGATCAGCCTAATTAATTCTTTCGTCTTTATTGTTCATTTCCCTTAATGATTGCGCCATTTCGAAATGGCCACCCATCGAATCTATTTCCCTCTACTTTTCTCTCTGTCGTCCAATTCAATCGATTCTAAGACTTAATTCAGAGATTTAAGAATTCGGCAAATACCACCTGAATCTACGGAAATATTTTCACGGACATTCACAGTTAATTTTCAGACTTCTTGAGTTTTATCCATGCCGCTTTGCAATCGGCAGATCCTCCAGAACGCGAGATTTCCGGTAGATTCTTCAATTTGCACCTTGTCTAAACAGGATATTCTTTCCTAAGCAACGAAAATCTCAACAACGGATGTCCAACTTGAAAGTCTCAAGTTTCTCGAATATTATCGTTACTTTGCAATCGATAGGTTTTCCGGAGAGAGTAATTTCGGCTAGACTCTTCAATTTGCATTTCGTCTGAATAAGATGTCCCTTTCTAAACAATTCCGATCTTAATGACGGATAAGCGGTAGATCTCTCGCTAATTGGTCCGGATAATCCGGGCGATTCTCGCGTTCGTGCGGTTCTTCGGGGCTACTTTCGGATAATCCACGAGTCATGCACGGGTCGCATTCGCGGCATTTGAACCGCCTCTTCGTACTTACCTAAACGTCAGGGTGCTGAGGAAGTTGGCACCTTGTCTGGGATTCTTCTTCTTCTCAGCGTGTACTTTCCCGTCCATGGCGACGACGGTGCAGATCTCTCCCTCTTCTACAACATACGATGGATTCCTGTGTAAGATCTTGCATATTCACACGCACGCACGCGCGCACACACATATATATATGTAAACGTACACACATGTGAACACACAGGTGTGTCCACAAAAAATAATTGCCGCGTATGCAGCGTGATTAAGCGCAATTTGGTGAGATGTTTGCTCAAGGCGCTTCTTCGCATGAAAGAACCCGAAGAGGAGCTGAAAAATAAGAGGAGAATGAGGACCGACAGATATGCCGTAATTCGTGAGAATCGTGACGCAGCTGTATAATCGCGCCGCTTATGAGTCCCCTCTTTCTTTCCTTCGCCGTTCTATCATTTTCACTCTTTCTCCTCCCATATTCGCCAAAAGCGGGCCAAAATTTCATAGAGATCTCCCCGCACCCCTCCGATCTATCCGTATCTTATCACTAATGCGATTCAGATAAAGCCACATTATAGCATGCATACATTAAGCCGGTCGTTCCGGTCAACGACGATGTATTCATACGGATAACGATTCCACTGATACAACTGGATTTTCTGTTATCCGAGGATCAGACAATATAACTCGCTCGTAGAGAGACAGAAAGATTCCCTGTTTTCTCCACCGAGTTTGAAAGCAACCGTTCACAGGAATATTCGGAATGTTCGCAGGAACGTTCAGAAAGTCGTGATAACAGAGATATTGTTGATTTCTTGTCACCGAGTTTTTATCTGGCCCTTATTTAGTTGTAGGAACTGGCATTTTTTCCGTGCGGATATCAAGAAGACCCTACACTTAAGATATTTATTAAATTACCTCGATATCCGGGTCCCGGATTTCCTTCGATTCTTTATTCTTATTATTATTTCTTCTTTCTTATTCTTCGAACTATTCCGAAGATAAAAGTGTCAAAACAAGATTAACAAAGTAAGAATACTTCAATATTTTGAAAGATACGTAGTTTTCCTATCAGAATATATCAATATAAGATATCGGAACGAATGAGAGATCGAAACGATATTGATGATATGACTAATATTGGTGATATCATTACAGATGCGGAGTCTTTAATAGCGAATATGTCGCATCGATCTCGAAAGAGAAGTCGGAGGAAATACGAAGCCGGTACCTTCTCATTCGCGAAGATAGCCGTCCCATCGCTGTTTTCTTTTTCTCGCAAAATGATACAGTCGAATTAATTTACCAATTAACGGTTTGATTAACAGTTGGCGATGAAACGCTTCTTTACGGTCAATTACAATGTATTTCTGTACTCCTACACACGAACATTCCCCCTCGTATCTCCTTACGTCTTCCTCAATTGTTATTTTTAAAGATAAACATATAGTAAAACACAAGGAATGGTATTTTAGATCAATAATTATAATATAAAATTATATAATTTTCTATATTACATATTATATAATTAATGTTATAAATAAACAATAATAACAATGCAACAATATATTAGATATTTCCAAACGATTCGATTTACGCACACATACTCGACGAAGAATATTTCTCTACATTCTGAATATATTTTCCTTTCTTGGCAATTTCACAAAGATAAATATGTTACAAAGTAATTACCGATTACAAAAGGAATCCAATCATTGAGTATCAGCGCACAACACTATCACCAACAAAATTCGTCATTCGACACTATGTCCCGACCCGATATGTTTTTATGCTTTCCTATCTGAGATGATGACAGAACGGTATGTTGTTCCGCTGCTGTCTCCTACGAGACACTCGCGATACACGCATATAAGCACGCAATTTAATAGTCCCGCATATCGTTATCAGTATGCGACGCGGTTCTCCACCACTCTTCCGCCACGTGATAATTGATCTTGAATCATTTTCGCGACATTGCGGCAACATCAACATAGTTGACATTATTGCACACCGTTAACGCCCCATTATGACACTCGTTGATAATCAATGCTGGAACGTTTTCACACGATAGCAATTTACTACACATATTATATATTTTTTTCTACGCACCGTTGCGCGCCGTATTAACGCCGTATCGTTGATACTCGTAACTCTCCCTCTCTCTCTCTCTCTCTCTCTATTTCTTTTTCGCTCCAATTCCTGCTCTGTTCTTGCGTATTTCGCGTCTCTCCACACATTTTATTCGTCACGTTAACATTATCTCCGTAACGCTGGATAATTAATTTCATATACAGCTGTAAACTGGTTTGAAGGATAATGAATGTTTTTCTTTCATGCTAATATTTCTTATCCGCGTTCAGAAACGAACGTTTGAGAGAAAGCTGCGGTTTAAATTGCGAATATCGACCGTTAGCAAAACGAAAAATAATTAATTATGCTTAATTGTGTTCTGATATTGAGCCTAATATGAAAATCGCATGTGAAATGAATGCGTGACGATAATGACGAGATCACGGATTCTATTTGGAATCAAACACTAGGCCTGAATTTGTGGAAATTTGCTCATTTTCCAATAAATAAATAAGATATAAAGTTATTTTGTAGTTCCAGACTTTGAACTAACGTAATGGGAATTAGCTGTTTATCTAATTCTAAGGAGTAACAAGAGAGGGAGAGAGAGGGAGAGAGAATGAGAATGCAGTTAATAAAGTACAATATTTTTTCTATTTTTATCTTAGAAAGATATTAAAGATAAAAATATTAAAACACGCGACATATTTTAAGGCTATTTACATAAAAGCTATTTACATTAAAAAATCGATGAAAAATTCGATGATAAATGAGTTAAAAGAGACACTTATCGGACATTTGTCGCAGTATGTTTAAATTTAGGAGTAAATCAGAATAAAAGCAAACTTGATATACAACGTTAGCCGGCGACATGTGTATGCCAATTGAAAAAATCTGTAGAAAATACACGTTGCTTCGAGCCTGCGCCCGGCAGAAAAACACATGGAATGTGTTTTCTGCCGCGCGTATACGTTGAAGTATAATTTCTCAAAATGGAAATCACCGTGCGCGGCGAAATTAACAAATCGTGCGGAACGTGCAAGAAAATCTAATTCGCTTAATTGAATTCGTGGAATGCACCTTGCGGTACTGCCGATTCTTTCTATCGAATCTGCTTTTTCTGGTACTCGGTACCCTGTAATTAGTAATTAGCGACGAGAGCGAGGTTCATTCGAATACCAAGGGATTTACGAATGGTCGACGAAATCGCTCTCGGACGAAGTCTTCGAAATCTCGGCTGCGAATTCGGGCCGAGTTCGAACAAATGAATTTCCCTCATCGTCAGTGACTCATTTACAATTAATGTCAAGTAATAATAACAACTGTTATATATATCTAAGTAAGACTCTGGCATCTTCCACAAACAATACGCGAACGGGCTTATCATAGATAAGATTAGATGCTCGAGGGAACCGGTGGGGCACTGAAGGAATACACGCGGGACTTTCTAATTATTTCCCAATTAACTCCCACTGAGACGCTCGACTCGTGCATTTTTCGGCGTTGCGTATTTGCTTACAGAGAAACGGGAGGATACAACAATCGTTTGCACGAAACGAAATTCTGTGCGAGATTCGACTTGCACCACTGATAATTAAACAGAATTAAACTGATTATTTAAACAGGGCTCATTCGTAACAAGTGATGCTACCCGAAACGTATTCTTATCGTGTGAAAATCGCCATCTTCGTCTTCCGGTCGTACCTTCGGCCACAAGACTGACGTTGGGTGTCGACTAATTATTGATACCGATGTTAAAAGTATAATACTCCACTTTCGCTTCCCATTTTTCGACCTTATTTTCAAGGCGTCCCGTTATCTCACTCTACTACACTTCCTATACGTGGATGTTTCATAACAAGATTTTTAAAAAAAGAAAAAAGGATATATATATATATAAATGCATATACGAGAGCGTCACGGAGCATTACGTCCGATTCTTTAAAATCAGTATTATCAGTCACGCAGTCTTTAATCAGTGTTCGTTATCGAGTAATTGAGATCTTTCGATTCAGGGATTTTCCTATTGGAACGTGAGGCGACGTGGTCGGTCATATTTAGAACGTATTACATCATATTATCATAAACGATGTTAGGCAAACAAAATCGCGGGAGGCAGCTGCTCTAACGATCGGCAGCGCTCCGATAACGAAGTTCGTGCAAGAAGCAGCGTTGAGAATCTTCAAATTGAACTCGAAGAGCTTCATTGAGAATTACGTAAAAATGTAAAATTGCCACATGCCACATCGTAATATCCATCTCAGGAGTACGTTTATACACCCGATGAAAGTTTTATGCAAGGAATAGTCAGCCGGCATATAAAAGCCGAATCGATCGCTTTGGCATTTTTGAGAAACAACAATCAAGCCCTAATGGACGCGTCAGCTGTCCATTAATGACATATTACTCTTTGATGTGTACAGGGTAGAGCGTAATTGGTGATACGACCAAAAATTGTTACCCAAGAAATAATGAATCGTTACGATTTCCGGCATTATTACGCAGAGTCTTGATAATATAATAAAAGTAACAATATTTTGTTATTAACAGAAAATAAATAATTTACACCGTTATTAACAGGGTTGATCGGAAAATTCCAATAGATGGGAAAGAGCCGTGGTAAATTCCGGTTTTACTGTCTGGGCTCTAACCAATGGAACAAACCGGAAAAAACTATAACAAGGACACACATATGTAAAACTAAAATATATTTATTTAACTTTATGTAAAAAGATATTTTTGTTTTAGCTAGTAAATCATATTAATCGTTATGAATTTAAAGAAAGACGAAACCAATATAATAATAAATTTTTTTTATTCAAATTGATATGTGAAATATATTTTTAAAACTTTGGAAATATAAGCTATATTAGCTGTTCATAATATGACAATACAACTGAAATTTATCAGACCTAGTTTTTAAATATAGGAGTTAAAAACCAGGTATAAGGACAAAATGAATTAGCTAAATTAACTAAATTTCTATCGTATTATAGGGACGACTAATTTTTACCTGCGAGAACTAATTTTAGCTATTTCTTTTTGAAAGCTATTTCTTTTTTCCCGTGTCGTTATTAAATCATTATTGAAGTAAATAACTCGTACGTATTGCAAGAAACGACGTTGCAAATAAGACGGTACTTCTCAATGCTTTGAGAATATGCTTTGAATAGTATTACCCTTAATCTTTATTTATATAACCAGAATAAACAATGGAACGACATGTTAATCGAGTCGTTTATAGTCGCACGCGTAATCCAAGAATTTGAAAAACCGATATTCTCGAGGAAGAAACTTCGTACAGAAAAAAAGAATTTTACTTCGCACTTTTCATTAATTTTCCTACGGAGATTCGTCCCTTTTCCTTGCGCCCCACACACGCGCTTTAACGGCTTTTAAATCACTTTTATTCTGATCGATTACGATGACTTGTAAATCGTAAGAGAGATAACGGGAACCGAATAGGGAAAAGCTGTCCGATGATAAGCGGCCGTGACGAGCAAGTGCGACAGTCAAACAGACGATTTCGGTAATACGCGCGTGCAAATCGATAGGAAGAATATTCACATACATACAGGAACAAAATTGCGCAAGAAATTTAACGTGGCGCTTCCGAGAATAGTATAACGTAATACGTCTAGTATTATAAAGTGCGGAAAGACGAACATAAACACACACACACACACACATACACACACTCTTTCTTTTCCGCGTTTCGCGAAACGGCAGTGGAAACCGCAAGAAAAACATTCTCAATATTCCTCTCAATAACGTTTCTCGCGTAAAACATTTAAAATATCTGTATTTGATATCGAGGCGCTTTTTGGTATCGTTATTGCATGAGACGTCCTTTTCATGACCTTTCGCTTTCTTCTGTTTTCCACAGAAAGAAAAATTTTAACAATTGCCGAACAACAACGTTTCAACAACGATAGACACGTGACGATCAGCATTTCCGCGAATTAACAATTAAATTAAATATCCCGCAAGCGATGCCGCCTTTGTTGAATTTTATCTGGAGTGTTGATTCTCGCTGAGCGACTTTTTCGAGCCGCTGTTACACCTGCTTAGTGGTATCGATGATCTTCACACGTTTTATTCTTCAGCTACTGGTGTAACACGTTATCGGAGTATTATTCGAGGCAATTAATTACGAGAGCTTGACGTTTCGTAAGCGCGTATTCCGATCCGCTCAGAATCAGTAAGACATACAGTCACGCAATGATAAGTGAGCAAAATCGCGAGATAGTCATGTATTATTTTCTCGTTTTTATTGTACGCGCACTCGTCTCGAGTGAGAGCGAATAAATAATTGATCTTATTACGTAATATCGGCCACTCGCAATTGATTGCTTTCCGATGAAGTTACGCTGAAGTCCTTAATCTCGATAATTTATTATAAGTTCAATGAACTCTGCACAGTTTGCTTTTTTTTCACTTGTAATTTGCGGAGAGAGATATTTTCGGAGGAACTTATAGGACAGTTTCCTAAGCCGCAAATTAATTAACTTTGCTGTACAAACGGCTCGATATCACGATCGATTCGCTCCAATGATACCTTTAAACGTCGCGTATCTAATTACAAATTTAATTAACTTTCTTTTGTTTCTCTTTAGTTTGTAACTTGCGTAAAGATACATTTTCCGAGAGTCTCGATAGTTTCTTAAGCCGCAAATTAATCATACTAAGATCTGATCAAATTTGCATGAAAATATATTTTCAGGGAAACTTAATAGTGTTTCCCAAGCCGCAAATTAGTCATGTTAAAT